TGTATATATATGTATTTTTTTTTTTTTTTTTGTACAATGCATACATGACATGTTTCGATTATCACACAAAATTATGAAACATTCTCTAGATATGTATGATGAGTGACCCAGTGAAGGGTTAATATCATAGATAAAAAAGATACATAATATATGAATTATAATCTCATAGTTTTTTGGCAATCTCAATCATTTTTATATAAATAGAAAGAAAAATTCTCTTTAAGACGGTATTTGAAATCACGTATCGATTTTCAATCATTTCGATTAATCGTTTTGAATCGACACGCTTGTTGACATAAGATAAAGAGGTTCGGTGAATTTTCTGAGATGACAGTTTGACAGCGCGATGTACATAAATAACTTTTACATATTTTAACGGTGTTTTTAATTTATTGTTTTTAAGATTTATTTGAATAATGGAAGCTAAAACGAAGAGCGAGCATTTACTGGCATTGAAAGGTAATATATTGCTAAATAATAAAAATTTACATCACGTTTGCAATCTTTTAGATGGTTATTTTAATCGAGTAATTATTCTATTATATATATGATTATTAATTAAATATAATGGCATGAAAAGAGTAGAAAGAATTATATCCATAAAGAGGCTGCGAATAAACTATTCTTACAGTGATGAGATTAACACGACCTACTCTGGCAAGTCCTATGGTTGTTACATGCGATTCAACAGACTTGCCAGGTAATACACTAAACAATGAACTCAAGAGCGATTGTACAGCATTGCAAGGCATGGAAACGCTCGCTATAGGGCAATTTATGGTGTTACCTCAAAGTTTTGGGTATATTTCTTCGTTTGGAAATATTTTTCTTTGTATTTAGAAAAAAATATTCTAAACGAATCTTTATATAATATTACTGGAATGATATTTGTGTTTTATTTTAGGAATATATACTTAGGAGAGATATTTTCCAGCTATCTATGTGTACATAATGGCAGTAATCAAATGGTAAAAAATGTTAACGTAAAAGTAAGTTTCCAAGTAGCATATTGGAACTATATTTCAAGATAATAATAATTACTTTTTTTCCTCATGTCAAATTTTTATATTTTCTAATGTCCCATTTTTCTAATATATTCCATAGGCAGATTTACAAACAAGCACACAGACAATTTCCCTCTCTGGTAATAATTTAGAAGGAAAGGAATTAGCACCTGATAGTACAGTAGATGAAGTTATTCACCATGAGGTTAAGGAAATAGGTACACATATGTAAGAATACTTATGTTCTTATACGCAAATTTGTTGTTAAGTTCAAATGGAAGATACATCTTTCTCATATTTCCAGATTAGTTTGTGAAGTGTCTTACACAAATCAGCTTGGGCCTCCACTATCGTTTAGAAAGTATTTTAAATTCCAGGTAGTTAAACCACTGGATGTGAAGACGAAATTTTATAATGCAGAGGTAATATTTAAGTATCTATTTATAAAAACTAAAGTTAGATATTCTCATACAAATTGTTATTCTGCTTCTCTCTCTCTCTCTCTCTCTTTAATATGTTTTAACAACAATACTTTTTAAAGTCAGATGAAGTATATCTTGAGGCACAAATACAAAATCTAACAGCTGGACCAATTTGTTTAGAAAAAGTTGTTCTTGAATCATCTCATTTATTTAGTGGTAAGTTGTCGTTGATTAAAATGATTATAATTAATTAAGAGTTCTATTTTTTATATATATTGCATTTTAGTAACTACATTGAATACAAACGACAAAGAAGAATCTATTTATGGAAGTGTGAATCTACTAGATACAAATTGTAGCAGACAATATTTATACTGTTTAAAACCACAGTTAAGCTTATTGAAAGATCCAAAAATGATGCAAAATGCTACAAATATTGGCAAACTAGATATTGTGTGGAGAAGCAATTTGGGAGAGAGGGGAAGATTGCAAACGAGTCAGTTGCAAAGAATGGTATGTTACATTATTCATCGATAAGTATAATTATATGTATATAAAATTGCATTATTTCAGGCACCTGAATATGGAGATCTGAGAGTCATTATGAAGGACATACCGTTAAAAGTGTATCTTGAAGAACCAGTTAATTGCACATGTCATATAATAAATACATCGTAAGTGCGAGATTGTGATTTAAAAGAAAAAACGTACATGACATATTATTGTGAATATAATTACGGTTCTTTCACTTTTTTATATATAGAGAAAGAAGTATGGAATTGTTATTGAGCTTAGAGTCGAATGATTCCATAGCTTGGTGTGGAATATCCAATACAATGATTGGCACTTTAAAACCCGGGGTTTCTATGGATATACCTCTCTGTTTGATTATGTTGAGTACAGGCATTATTGTGAGTAATTTATTTATATGAGATTGTTAATATTACTACACAATACATTACTAAATAACATGTTTTTTTTTTATAGACTATCTCTGGATTGAAATTGACAGATACGTTTTTGAAAAGAGTATATGATTACGATGATCTAGCGCAAATTTTCGTTAATCAATTGGACTAAAATGTATATATGCAATAGGAACACTTTTTTATGGATTTTAGATGGCGTTTATTATTTATAAAGATAATAAATATAATCATATTAAGATTATATAAAATATTTCATGAATTAATACATCATTTGCACTTAAATATAACATATTTAAATACAAATATTAGCTTAGTTTGTAAAAAGATCTTTATTTAATTGTTCTAACAGATATAGTTTTGAAATCTAGTATCTTTGTATAAAAATTGTATATTGAATGCTGGGCAATCTCTAAACTTTCTGATTTTGTTCAAATTTTATCATAACAGTTATATAAGAACAAATGTAATATTGATGTATACTAGAATTAGAAGTGCTCATAAATATTCATCCAATGTTGACATTTTTTCATTTTCACTGACAGCTCCTACCGCGCATGCGAGTAATGTTTGAACATCACGTGGCTCATTACCACCGAAAACATATCCGCTGGCTTTATCCACCGCGTTTTTCACTTGTAACAGCAATGCTTTATTAGAAACATCTAGTGGTACAAAACTGACGAGACTATAGCCCTCGATTATCGATACTAGCGCTTTGTTAAGTTTCTTGTACCTGTAAAATATTGCATTCACTTAAAAACTTGCCATAAAATATTTTACGAATTAATGGAACACATTTGCATTTGAGCATAATATATTTAAGTACAATTAGCTTACTTTGCAATAAAGAGATCTTCATCCAGTTGCTCTAAGAGATAATTTAAATCCAATACTTCTGTGTAATAATCTATATTGAATGCTAGGCAATCTTTAAACTTCTTCATTTCATCAAATTTTGTCATAACATTTACATGAGGCAAACCTATTTGTAACATCGCTGTTGTGCAAAGAATCAGGGAGGATAAATATTTCCCTATAAATGGTATAAAAAAAATACAATTATATTAAATAAGCAGTAAAACTCTAATAATTTCAAATAGTTAGTTATTTAATTAAAATAAATGCATTACCAGGGTCGCTACAATGATGTGAATCTACAAGATGCACACTGCATAATCTCACTAAGCTCTGGCTCAATTTCTCTGCTATTCGACTCACTGATTTATGATGTGTATACAACTCGACCTGTTATATTTTATAATGTATTATTTGGTCATTATCATAAGATAATTTGAGACAACATTGTCACAACTCACTTGACCCGGACAATCAAAAATAAGATAGTGATCCTTTAAATTCAAAACTTTTGTGACGAGCCATTGTACATTAGTTTCTAGAAATTCCATGCAATGAACTAAAGCACCATTTGGTCCAAGTGCTAAGTCTGTCATAACATCTTCGTGTTTAATCAATTCCGATATATCTATTGCTGGAGTATACTCCATGTTTTCATTTGCTGGATCTAATATGCAAAAATTGCTTATTTAGATTTAATTAAAGAGAAAGCAACTAAAATAATATTTACACATACCAATGTTAATAACTGCTACTTTTCTTCCAATAGACTCCAAAAATTTAGACATTGCATTACAATATGTCGTTTTTCCACTACCAGGTGGACCAATCACGAGTTGCCCAAAAATTAAGCTCATAGTGATTCAATCGTTATTACCACGGTTTTATTTGATTCACAGCAGCAACAATAGATTTTAAAGTCTTCACGTTATAATCCTTTAAGGCTATTGACAGTAATAAAGGTTTTTCAATATTAATTTCTTGCGCTATATATCTAGCGGCTACATGAATGTCATTGTTGTCACTACCAAAGAGTGTCCTGAAAATTTGAATTGGATTTAAGTATATATCCAGTTTTAAACTATTACAGTAATTATTATCACTTACTTTATCGTGAATACATCACTTGTATAACCATTCACAGGGGATTCACGATTTATCATCAATAACGTCCCAAATTTTTTGAAATGCGTTACAATCAACAGTGTCCGATTGCTGCAAGAAAAGATAACATTGTAGACAAATGCTCCCTCGAAGAATGATACGTAAAGAGATATTATATTGTAGTACCTGTAGGGTCTTAAAACGATATCAGTATGATGGCCATTTGTAACGACACCACAAGAACGTTCAGTCATATTTCTTACACATGAATCAGTATAAATATATTAGGACCAACTGCGGTACTGCGGTCAAAACGTTATAAATTGCAGTAGAGATAGCCTTCATAACCTTCTGGACACTGACACTACTCTTTCTGTTCTCTGATTTTGATTGTTGTAGACATGTTTGCCATTATTCGATATCAAACCATCGATAATTTTTTTATATCGATACAGGAAAATATCGAATATCAAAACATCAAAACCAGATATTTTGTGTAACAAAATTATAAAATAATTATAAATAATAAAATTATAAATTAATTTTGTTACATAACTAAATATCAATTAAATAATTTTAAATTATTCATATTTTATGTAACAAAAACAATTATAAAATAATTTAAATTAATCAAAACAGGAAAATTTATGTTAAAGTCTATCCAGATAAACTGTGGAAATAGCTGTATAACACATATGCACAGAGAAACGCAGATATATATAGAACGCACCTTTTTGTCATATGACAAAGAAGTGAGACATACTCAATAAAAGAGCGAATCGATAGAATTAATCTTTTTGTCAAAAAGTATGTTTGCATTATTATTAGTGATACCAAGAGGACATATATCAATCAAAGAAAATAAATCAATCAAACATATCAATGAAAAATTTATGAAAGATTAAATCTCTAAAAAAATTGTTTAGAATTTCTACCACCAAAATTTTATATATTAAAGAGCAGTGTAAAAGTCACACAAATTAAAAAAAGAAATAAGATATTATTCCTGTAAAAGCTGACGAAAAACCTCATCTTGAATTTTAACGTCACAAATGAAAAATTACATAATTTTTTTTATAATACATCAAAGTAAATTAATATTTTTGTATGTTATCACACTTCCGATCGATAGTATAGAGATTGATAGAATATACCGAAAATTCTCTTTGTCGGTCCGTGGATTAATGAATAGTCGTAAATCTTAGTTGTATCATATAAGGTTTATTCAGTCGAAATCAACAGAGTTATATGTACATGTTCATTCATTAATGTAGGATGAGAAAGAGAGTTTTTGATATATTTTATCGATCCGTTCTATCGAATTCAAGTGCTTATATGCATATGAAAAAAATTAGTCCAATATATTTTTAAAAAAATTTATAATATATTATATTAAATTTATTATATTTATAAACATATGATGCAAGACAAAAATACAAATAATTTTTTTCACTTCTGATATCATAATTCAAGCTACTTGAAAAGGAAGTCTTATAAATATGTAACAATCTTCTAAAAAAATCTTATATAAATGTCAATGTATGAATTTTTTCATAATTTTTTGAACACTTTAAACATATTGTAAAAAAATCGGCTGAAATTAAGAATCAAACAGAGATAAAAGAACAAATTTTTTACTTTATCCTGTTCCATGAACACTCATTCGATGATCGCGACAATTTTTTTCGAAAGGATTTAATAATAAATTCATGTTAACAACTATTATATAAATGCGTTTCCTAAGGAAAAGTTAAGTCAATGTAAGAACAACGTGACTTCAAGTAGAGATTTTATTGAAATATAAGGAATCTGTACCAGACAGAACTAAAATTACTGTTGAATTTGGATCTACCGGGGTTCACGTATCGTATATGCCTGCGTAACCGCTGCTTTATCATTTCACGTTTATCGTATAATATTGTAGTCGGAATATTTATAAGTACAGAAACACAATATCGAAGGTACGCGCACAGTCTATCTTGAACTTCTAAAGCTAAGAAAAGGATTTTTCTCTCTATAGAGACCTATAGTTGCAATCTTACGTTTACAACTAGAGGGGAAGGGAGGAAGAGAGGGGGTTTCTCTCTTTATCTCTATGTACAATTGATAATTCAAAGATTTATATAAGCCATCCTCATGCGCTTCGCTCGTCATAGCAAAGACACGTACAGTTTTCGTCCAAATATTTACAATTTTTACAAGAAACACTCTCAATATACAGTGGTACAACAATTTCAATGTATAGTTTATTCTCTTGCATTGATAATTGCAACGAATCTGTCAATCTAATCTTACACAAATGGCCCCGTTAAAAAAAAAGAAAAAAAAAACAGATCTTTTTTTTGTTGTTTACACGTTTTCCACAAAGTCGTCAAATTTTTTAAAAAATTTCTATAAAATCGTGTCGGATCTTTATACAATTTTATTGACATGAGTTTTATCTATATCGCGGTAATCGTACTAACGCAAGAGACATCATGCTGAATGTCAAACTCACTTTCAAATGTGTGCGGGGGACACCGTTGCACATACACAGTCTAATTACAACTATATTATATATAAGAATGTAGAAACCTAAAAATCTTCGTGTTAGTTATAATAAATAAGCAACGTATACATAAATTTAATTAGAGTGTACATATGTGTGTATGTAATATAAATGTGTGGCTGCGTGTGTGTGTATTAAATATATATTAAATATTATTTTTATATATTTAATACATATTTAATATTATATAGAAATATATATTTAACTTAACGTAAAAGAGTCTATCGCACTGTTCTTCTCTGCATCATGCTATCACATCGCACTTTACCGATGACGTGTCTATTACGCGATAGAAAGCCTTTTGGGGAAATGTTCAGGATATTTTTCAACTTCATTTTCGACTTTACTCATTTTTGAATTTACTATATCGGTATTGGAAAGAATATATAAATTATTATAAAAATGAATTATTAACTCACTCATATTCTTATATTTCCTTTCATTATTCCTCAGGCATAATCCTAGATTTCGTTTGAATCGAATTCAGTATAATTGATCAGTATAATTGAATTCTTCAGTCTTTCTTACGTGACTTTTACACAATAAAATAGCGCCTCGATATAGAGAAGAAAGAAGAATTTGAACGCGATCAAATATCTTGAAAAAAAATCTATTCTTGATGATAAGAAAAATAATTCAAGGAAATAAGAATGAGCAGTAAATAGGGAAAAACGTGATACTGTGTTCTAAGCAAGACGGTCATTTTTTTCAATCCGTTTCGAGGAAAGAAAAAAGATTTAAAGCTATCTCGCATCGTGTCGGAACATCACATTACCGCACAAGCCATTTTGATCATAACTTTTTAAGTGACGCTAACGTCTTCCGTCTCCTCATAAATTTAGAAATAAAATCTTTCTCGCCTTTTAGGTGATCATAAAGCAGCCTTACAATTCTGCTGCATGATAGAAAAAGAGCAGCATACTGTAAATAAGATTGGCCGAAACTCTATGCCAATTTTCGACAATGATGCATATAGGGTACCCTTTTTATGGTTTGACGATCAAAATGTACAAATATAATAGTTTCACTAAGAAATAGAAAATGATCTTACTGTTAATGTACAGGTGACATTCTGCAATGAATGAAAATATTTAATTACAAATGAAAGAAATCGCAAAATTTGACAATACATGTGACCTGCCAAACAATATGGCGAGTTAGCTCGACGCATCGAGACCAAGAACATGATTGAAATATCGTGATACGATCCTTCTATGAATTAAATATTTTGCGATCATTCGAAATTCTTAGTGAAACGCTTATTATTACTTTCATATATATACATTCAAAATCTAATTTATATCTTTCTTTCGCGATACTGTTTGCTGATGCATAGCAAAAAATGGGATACACAACCAGAAAAATGGGCTATACAAAATTATCTTTTTTTTTAAATAATATAACTTGGAACGTCTCCCCTTGGAATCGCTTTTCCGCGAAATAGTTTTGATATTCTAAAAATGAATTAGAAAAATACTTTTTCTATTTCATATATAAATACATATATGTATCCCGTAGTAAAAACAAAAGTTTTATTATAATAGTTTTATCTATAGCGTTCTCTCTCTTAGCAAAATTCTAAGAGAACCAAAAATTGAAAACAATTAGAAGACGTAGCATCCTTTAATGTTATCTAGATCTTCAGTGTGCATGTGGTTAAAATCTACCAAGCATTTTGAAATATACAAATGCGGTTTGTAATAATAGGTATGATGTGCATTTTCGACTCATCATACAATATCATCATACGTTATCATTACAATATCTTTACAATAAATTTACACAGATTCGCAGATCTGAGTAAAGTATGTTCGCAAGTGACTGTTTCAATTTTCAACTTGGCAGAAAACAATTCTCTACTATTGATCGATCTAATTTTACTATTTATTCGAGTTTCTTGAGATTTCAATGCATACAGATTGTAAAGATCTCTGCGCGATGCCCGACTATCATCATGATTCTTTTTTTTCTTTTTTCTATACTATGATATCATCGTCATCTCATCAATTATTAGAAAAGTTTAAATCTGCTTGGTACTACGATTACATCCTAGGCTTAACATCCGGCGTGTGAAAATAATTTATATTTATTTACAACAATTCAATACAATTCGGAGCAGATATCCCCGATGCAGCACTGACATTGATAGATATCGCGTTCTCGAGGGTTCAAAGAGTTTCTTTGGGATCCCTTTCCCGAAAGAAACCCTTTTCAGTCTTGCACTCCCTGATGGTAACGGTTTTCAGATTAACAGTAACATCTGTGATAAACACTTGATCCGCCACTGGGTTCCTCGCATGCCAATAATCCGTGCTGGGGCTTGTAAGCGGGGCGTAGATTTCCGACTTCGGAATTTCGGTCTGCTTGACGCTTGAAGTGTTATTGTTGTTGTTATTATTGTTAATGTTATTATTATGATGTCCGTTTACGACAGTCGGTAACCTATTGTTGTTGGTGTAAGAATCTGTGGGACTTGGTGATTTATGACCGTTCGCTTTGTCAGCGACTGTTCCGTTCGATTTGTCCTGTTTCTGCTCCGATAAATGCCTCTTCTTTGTTGAGGGTTGTTCTAGGGGTGTATCTATCTGGGGAGACAGCGGTGCGGGTGGTGCACGTGGAAGAGATGGCGGCGGGCCATGAGGTACGTCAGCTTCGGGACGCTTTTTGTCCTGTACTGCCGGCGCCGGCGTCGTCGGCACCGCCGGAAGAGGCTCTTCCGGCGTCGACTTTACGCTGGAGGACGACGGCCTTCTACCGTTGACTTTATGACTCTAACAAAAAAAAAATTCTACTTTTATATCACCAAGAAAAATGTGATACTGAGATCCATTTAAAATTTAACATTGTTGAACGCCATATGGTCATCAGTGGGACATTTTCATTTTTCTGTAAGCTATACAAATTCTGCATATACAAATTGTATGAGTTTCTAATATGTAATCGAAATTTTGATACCCCGATGCAACATAAGTCACAACTTGGATTAGATTATGTAATTTTAAGAAATTTTTTGTCGATATATAAGAAAAAAAGATTTAAATGTCCGACAATATCATAACTTATTAGCAAATTACATTTTCGTGTTTCGAAACTTACGTGATAAGACGGCGTTGTAGGGTTGTTCTTTAAAGGCAATAACCGAGGAACTTTGCTTGGCGGCGGGCTACCACTACCGGTGTTGGGATTGCTAGTGGTAATTGTCACGCCGATCTTGCCAGATTCCTTGCTAAGGACCTCCGCCTTCCTTTTTGTGCCCAACTCCTTCCTGGGCAATAGGGGTATATCCACGCTACTGTTGGAACTGTCAGAATCGACGCTGAATGTCGATGCCAATTCTGGCGGTGTCGGAGACTCATGACCATCCAAGGAACTCGGAAGTGTGTCTTCGTCCGGAGCTACAGGATTCAAACGAGGCGCCGAAGTACTGCCTGTTGTCGATTCGTCCTGACTGTCTTCGCCTACTCTTTCATCTCCACCGGGTTCCTCCTCGACTACTCCTAGATTAGCTATTAGCTGCTCCTAACAATAAAAAATTAGAAAGTATAGATAGTGTTCAAGAAGAGCACGTTACTAATCCAATGTTATGATTCTATTAATTCTTTGTTTCAAACTATTTCGACAAAATAAGAAAAGATTTTACGATTACCTATACTTGCTTAACGAGGAACGTCATAAAATTTGCTGAGATATTAAACTGTTAAAATGATTCGATAGAAAAATGATCTTTCGATCTAACTTCATAATCAAGAGATGTAGCATTTTACGAATTTGATATATTATAAAAAATAGGACATTTCGTAAAGCTTTGTGTTTGGGAAGCATTTCTGTTGAGAAATCTCTTTTTTCTTTAGAAATTGCAAATATACATGCCGTTAATTTATTCAAATTTTTTTTTTTTTTTTTTTTTTTTTTTTAAGAATGATATTTAATCGCGCGCGAACGCGATGAAAGTAAGAAAAGATAAAGTAAAATTTATATAAAACATTATTATAAACTATGCGTATGATAAAATCAACAATATTAGCAAAACTAACTTAACTGTGTTGATTGAACTTTATCTTTAGTACAATTTTATTAAAATCGATCTCGTAATTTATTCAGAATTGAATTAAATAAAATGCACGGAAATATATAAATATATCGTCCGTTCTTACATTATATCTGGTATCCCTTCGCCTTGGTCTTCTGGTGGATACATCTCCGCCTTTCTGACTTTCCTCATACAACTCGATTAATCTGACGTCCAAAATATTTTCTTCCGGTTCCCATGTGTTATATCTAAAATAACAAGAAAAGTTGCATAATGCGTATTCCAATCACAAGCTTTACACATATCTCAAATATCTCTGACAGATTTTATACTTACTTCTTGCTCCATCCCTTCCATTTGACAAAGTATTCAATCTTGCCCTACAAAAAAAAAAGAAGAAAAACACGATAAATATTACTAATATAGTAATATAATTACACAATGACGATAAATACGATAAACGTTATTGCATCGAATAACATGTGAAAGACGACAATAAATTAATTGATAAACATATTTCTAAAAATGCAAATACATCTCTGTGTAAAAGTTTAAAAAGTATAAATAAATATAACAATTAATATGGCTAACGAGAATGAGTTTTTAGCATTTTTTACATTATAAGATCAAGAAGAGGAAAAAGATTTCAAGCGAGAGGTGTGTGTTTTTAATCTTCCATATTTCTTGATAAAGCATCGCATCGCTATATACGATATTCCAACATCAATCTCTGAATCATTATTCCTCCAATTAACCACCATCGGCAAAATGTATAATCGTGCATTAATCACTTTTACTTCTATAATTAAATCTATCATTATCCTGCACATCAGCTACGTCGGAAATGGATCGTTATGTCGTCCACGTGTTGCGCGCTTTGTTTGCATCGTGTGCACATCCGAACAGATCGTTTACTGATAAGATCTACCAATCGGGGAAAGCCGATTCGCTTATCAGCATGTGTAATTATAGCTATCATGGCGCGATAATTAATTGCGACGCGAGAGGCGCGCCGTTACATCGATCGTCCCGTACGATTTTTCAACGATCGCCAAGTAGATAAAACCAGGTGATCGGTGAAAGCCGTTGGCGCCATTCGCTGTCAGTCTGCGGTAACAGTTTTACATTGTAAAATCGGGTCGATTGCGCGCGGAAATAAATAGACAGATAGAATACGTTTGTTTATATGACGAGGATCAGTAAATCTCCTTTCCGGCAACATGGAGAAATAAAAGTGCAAAAGGAATATGTGCGTGGACGGTATATAAGCACTGATTATAAAACGAAATGATAAAAGAATCGGATTGGAATTAAGTGTAACATTAAGCTTAGTAATCTCGATCTTAAAATCTTTATCTTAATTTTTTCTAACTTTAAGATTAATTTTGTTGATATTAATCTTTTTTTTTTTTAATTTAGCTAAATTTGTTTTTTTCTTTTGAGATTTTTGCGTGATTCTTACCTCTCCGCCAACGGATGCCGGGTCATTTATGATTTATATATGAGTAAACGATTTTATAAACCTCATGCGATAATCGAATAATTCATATATATGTTATATATATAATTTGAATAGATATTTATTTTTATTACAAAAGTAATTTTTTTCTTTCACTTATATCATGTGATATTTTTTGAAGAAAAAAACAACTTGAAAATGTATTAAAATAAAAATCCAATATAACATTTTTTCTGGAATACGTATCAAAGAAATCTCGCTATGGGTTAAAATTGACCCAGACTACAAACCCTTCCGAGGGTTAAATGCAAATTAAACGCACCGAATCTTGTAATTTATTTAAGTTACAATTAAGACATTAGTAAGGCTAAATATTGCGGGCTAGAAAGAGCCAGACGCGAATGATGGTTTGCATCAGTTTCAAAGAAAATTAATTTTTCTTTTAAACTGATTGTATGCACAGGACATAAATTTTTCTTGGTGCGATACCAAGTAAATTTTTGAATAAATCTCAAAAAATTCAAGATTTAATTTTAATAAATCCTTCGCGTAAAACACATCCACCTAAAAAAGAACCCCCTTATTTAATTTATGTTATTGTCTTGATATTTAATTTCGAAGCAGATGGAAACGCGAGAAAGAGAGATCGCATGAATTTTCAAATCCATCTCGCGACGCACGGTCGATAGCACGGTGGCTATGCCGACGTTCATGGGTAGCGGCTCACCCATTGGCTTACGGCCAACGACAGAAACGGCACGCCGGCCCATCGCAATGCGCAGGCCGCGTGACAGTTGGAAAACAATGACACACGCGAGAGATACGACGTCGCGTAACGGCAGGAATGAAGCATCCACGAGCCCGATCGACAATGTGATAGCGCATGCAGGTTGTCATCCTTTCGCGAGGCGATATTGTTACATGTCGATACTAGTACAACAATCGTATCGTCGATTCGCGAGAGTGAATGCTCTGTTAACGCTTTACATGACTCATTTAACAAGTTTATTCGTTTTGACACAATTGGACGGTGAAACAATTTCGCGTATAAACGAGAGTAGCATTTCTCATAAAAAATAGAGGACTTCGCCAATGTTGAATAAAGGATAGTTCGGAATCGTTTCAATTTCAAATGTATGCAACTCTTGTTAATGTCCTTAATATATTCGAATGTATGTCCAGAATGTACCTTTACTTCAGTGAAATTACGTTGTATAATTTTGTAACATTTTAGGACATTTTAATATTATGACTTTCCTGGATTAAAGGCATCATCGTAGGCATCATTGCTATTTTATCATTTTGCGTGCATTATTTTTCGTATCTGTAGGTTCTCATTAAACAAACTATAATTGTAACGATTAGAAATCATTATAATTTTTATAATTATTTTTACGACATAATTCATGAAATTATATTAATTATACTAAATTAATTATATATTAGTATAAATTCATATTTTCTTTCGAGTGAAATAAAATAATGTTCCGAAACATATAGTGTCCTGAAAACCTACGGCAATCTTTCTAACAGCATATTCTTTGCACTATTTTTACTAAGGACAAATTTGACGTTTTCAAATTAATCAAAGAATCTGCTATTAAAAGGATATCCGATGGGGTTTTGAGACTTCCTATATAGTTTATATAAATTTTCCATGGGTCGGAAAGAATTTTAAGAATTACGTTTACGAATTGTTTCGGTATTATACAGCATGTTGCGTAGAGAAACACGCCACCAGTTGCTACCAGCTGATCGCCATACGGAGCCTTTCTCCTATCCGTCAGCGAGTTTACCATTGTCCGCCTCCGGGAATTCCCGTTAACCAGAAGCATATAGTCAGCGTCAGAATGGTTGAGATTACTTTTTCTTTAGTAGCATAATTTACAAAAATTTACTCTGTATATGAACTATATATGAACCAAAAATGATAACAATAGTCATTAACGCATCAAACGTATTCTATAAATGTATTAATGTATCTTATATATAAAGTAAAACTATAATCGCTATAAATATAAAACAAAGTTATCATATTAACATTTTAATAATTATCGCAGTCTTCGCATCGTCTTTAAAGAGATTGATGGAAAATATATCTCAAATGCATGTATAACCGCAGTAAATAATAAACATCTCTTTCTGTATATCGTGCACGTGAATATTTGCACAAAAATTATACATTGTCAAAGAATTGATTTACCAGATATAATCAATTGTTATAAATACAGGACCGCGTGTTCTGTACATGTACGGTTGTGTGTGTACAAGTCCTTCCGTGCCGGTGGAAAACCACAGCGTAAAAGTTTGCTAAAGCTTCCTGTTTCGGTAGCGATAGCTGAATGTAGTCTTTTTCTCTGATTGATTAATAAACACTTATTTACTCGATCGTTAACGTTTCAAAAGAAATTACATTGAATTATCTTTCCTATCAGTTAAAGGAGTTACGGTAAAATCAAGCGATATGAATTATCAGACAAATTTTTCAATATAAAAGTTAGAAAAATAAATGTATAATAAAAAATTGCTTTTGATGAAAACAGCGTTGAAAATACATGATTGACGTTTCTTATATTACTTTTGGATCTCTTTTTATTTTATTTTTGTTTTGTTTTACACACTTACCTCTTAAATCTAAATTTAAATTTATAAGTAAATTCTTATTCTTACTTTGTTTTATTGTAATTTATTTTTAAGTATGTATTTGTAATAAGAAATATTTCTTCCTCTTTATCACATTACTTGCATTACACATAAATAAATTTATATATGATGAATTAAGTACAATGCATAGTTAAATATTTATACATTCTTTTATCTTTTTGTTCCTTTCTATTTTTTTCCTGTATCAAGGAAACATATTGCGCAGGGTTCTGCGATATCAAGGACCGACAGTGATTAGATATGCCGTTCTATATAAATACATATACATATATATATTCTAGAAAGAGTAATAATGTTTTGCTATTTTTTAAATTGGCGATTTTTATACATTATAAAATATCCTATCGCTGAAAACAACAGCAACATAATAATCGAAAAATATCTGACGTGTCTCAATTAAGAGAATAGATTTCGAGAAAATTGGCTTTTTACTCCTCTCTTCAAGAGACACACGATTTGATCATTTTTCCCCGTGATTAATGCCGGCATATCGCAATGTAAGCGGCGTCAAAATAGGAGGCACAGAATCGCGCTTGTACGTGGTTCTGTAACGAGACCGAATCGATAATCTTGCCGATAGCAGAATTCATCGATCGGTGGTCGATGTCGGAGCTTTGTGTTCCTCGAGATTCAATAAATGCGTATGCAAGAAAACCTGTACTCGTTAGCGTACTTAATGAGTCTGACGTCGCGAAAACGCGGCGCGCTTCGTATTGTGGAAGCGCCAGCCAAAGAGCTGTCAGAAAGAAAAGGAGAGAGAGAGAGAGAATTGAGTATAAGGCTAGAGCTGTTGGCGTTCCGACCCGACCTCTCATCCCCATTCCTGTCTCCACCCACCCTTCTGGAGCACCCTCTCGCCGCGCTACCTCGTCTCCACCCTCGCCCACCATGGCACAACCACCCACCTATCCAGCCCACCGACCAACCATACCACACAGTAACACCCCAACCGACAGATCAATACCTACCAACTACCAAGCTGCTCCCAGATTATCATTCTATCCGACTACTTTGAACGGCCCCGAAAATTGAGTGACCACGCGCGTCGATCGAGGATTATACTTGATGCGCGTATAAACAACCTTTATGCGAATACTAAACGTTGTCTACGTACGACAAAACTACGCAGATTCATCGAGCGCGAGATAACATCAGTCATCACCTTGGATGCTCCACATGCCTGTTGAAGAAATTCGCAGAATGTCGTAAAAATATCATATGTCAAACACAAAACTTAACGATTGAAGAAAAATTTTTAACCGTGCATTAACACTTATTATATTTGCAAATTAAAATAATGTAAATATAAATTTTGTTTTACAAAATGTTAATTTTAATTAAACTTTTTTTCAGCTAAATTTTTTAAATCAACATTTGATTACAAAAATGCTTGACATTCAAGAATAAAAAAATTATGACAAATAAAATATAATTCAATTATAGTTATTTCTTCGCTTAGAGAAACTTGATTTCAGATTCGTTAAATTATCTATGATTCGCACATTGTAAGACTAATATGTCTTTCATAAAATTGCATAACTCTTAAAAGACAATACATCTAGATAGTGAAAAATAAGAATATTTAAAATTTCACATAATCAAATTAATATAATAATAGAACACGTGATGATATAAAATTTTATTTATATATGAGTGTCACTATTGGTTCGCGATAAGAATCCACGATATACGAGAAGTCTCGGAAATGACCTCAACTTGAAGCTGCGGAAAGTAGGTCGAATGTTCGAATAAGATTTTCCATTTACGAACCAGAGGGGGAGCGAACGTGCGATTCATCAACGGGAGCTCTTTATCCACTTTTTACCGGCGCGATGAAATTAATCGGATTCCCCGGTGTGAATCGCTTTGATGGAGTGCACTTTTGCGTTCTATGAACTACGTGATTTGGTTAAACAGCGGACGGACGGAGCGGGGAATTATCGTGCTGGAAACGCTACGTGTCCTTTATTGCTTTTATTTCTTGCTGCTCGTTGTATCCATCCGTAATGAGCCGGCAATTTTTCAGAGTCGAACGACCTTATGATCGCATACGCGTTACGTCAAATTAAAGAGCAACAGGTGTCTCTGCTGATCATCCGATGTACTCCGCGTTAAAATAGTAGCGGTATGACGGCGCCGGGATATATTCATTCAGACATGGGAAAAAATGTATCGGGATATTATCATGCGAAATTGGATCTCTAAGCTCATTGTAGCGTACAAGATCTTTAATATCGA